GATTTGCCTTTCTACTATTTCTTAGGAAAACTGAAGCAATGGTGCAAACTGTTTTCTGTTGATATTCTAAATTCAGAAATGTTCAAACTTACTGCAAAGAGACCACCACACACTCTATAATGATTTTTCAAAGACAAAAGTAAAAGAGAGAGCATTCTTTCCTGACCCTATCCATGTTACATGCCGTTACATCTAGATTTAGCCAAGATGACAAATGAGGGAAATGATGCGGGTGACTAGGAGCAAATGCCAATGTGTATCTTTTATATTTGACTGACAATTAGGAATAGCTAAATTGTTGACACTGATAATGTGGAATCTAAGTATAATCAAATCTATATCACACTTAAGGTAACTCGAATAAATATCACATAACTTTTGTCATTAACACTGATTCAATTATATTCTGAATTAAATTTATTGTAAATAGTCTTTGAAATGGTATTCACTGACACTGATTATTTTGTGACAAGGGAAGATTTTAGGATGCTTATTAAAATGTCATCACTCAGCTGGTTATAATGTTATAGTGTTAATCATTGTATAAACATATATACAGTTAATACTATATGCTTTTTAAATTATATTATATATTTCTTATATTATATTTTAACAGAAAATAAATTAATCACGATATACACACACAATAGAAATATTATAACTCATATCTCATCTTCTTTAATCCTAATTTTGCAACAATCTTGGAGTTATACTGTAAATTTAAGCAACACATAACTGGCATGCACTGTCAAGTATTACACTTGGGACTTGTTGAATGCCATCAAACATTATATGTAGGGACAACATCATCAAAAAGGTTGCCTCTTTCCTGATGCTGTTTCATACAAGTCAAACCAAATAGTAATAAGACAAGGAAGTTCATACAAACACCACTATACAAGATTGAATAGCCATTTTACTGGACTTTTTCAGGTGAACAGTCATTGAAAGACAACTCAGAAACGTGTATTATTTGCACATAATGTGTCAGTAAATTGGCATGACAAGCACAAAGAAACAACCAGCCATGTTACACTGTGTCAGCTCTGGCCTGTGGAATGAAAACACTTCCATTCCTAACTGTGTAACTTCCCTCGCTTCTTAATCATCACTTAAATCTAAGCCCCCGCCCTCTACAACCAAACAATCATCAAACTTCAGCCAATAAATAAAGCATGCAGCACCTCTCAGGGTCACTTTTACCTGTCTCTGGGGTCGATCCATGAAGTTTGTCGAGTGTTGTGGTCAATGTAAAAGACTCTGCCATCAAAATCCCTGGCTTCCTCCCAGCCCGGGGGCAGCGGCAGCTCCGAGCTCTCTCTCCGCTTACAGCTGCTCACCCACGGCATAGCGCTGCTGGGACCCCCTTCCTTTACTCCAACAACAAATATATCACAACTTTCTACTGCATTACAAAAGTGTAACTCCCATCAACTATCGGAAACAGAAAACTTCACGACGAAGAAACAACCGCGGGTCAAATCGACACAGGCAGTCCTGCATCCACCTTTTCCAAAAAGTTTTGCAGCGCTCTCATGACTCTGTGTGTCGGTCCTCCATGTTTGACTCTATCTACCATCTTTCATTCCACACTGTCCATATTCGGGCAGGCGTATTTGCATAAGCACCGCCCCCGAATGCATACGTATATGAGAGTAACCCAATAGTGGCGCTCGTATGATTTTGGGATTGTTGTTGATGGAAGTGGATGCATATTTTTTTTATACCCATGTGATGGGTGTGATTTTTGTGATTTGTTGTTTTTAAGAATTTATAATAAATAGACCTATAATTTTTCAAAGCAACGTTTATCTCATTGGGTCAATTTTATTTAAATTGTATTATAAGTTAGAGCACTAGACTCGTAATTTGTCTAGTAGGCCTATGGCCTATTTAAAAAAAAAAAGTAAAAAAAAAAAAGTGCCCTATCCATAATTTCATACGTAGGCTATTTCCTTTCGTGATTGCGTGTTAAACTGTTGTAATATAATTTTGAACATTTTCCAGAAATGAGAAAATACCGGCTTTTACACCTTACAGAAACTTAAACGCTTCAGTCACTTGATTTAGTTTCCATTTTTAGTATAAGAGCGCCATCTAGGGATTACAGCCTATAGCTCTTTTTTTTCTACATGAAGCAACAGTTGTAGATGTGTTGTCTAGCCTACATTTGACACATTTTTTACTCCAGTGAGTAGGCCTATCTATAACAATAATTTATAAACAAAGTATTTTATTTGTTCTGTTTTGTTGTTTATTGTTTGTCGCATGAACATATAACCTTCCCCATTTCATTTTCTCTCTCTCTCTGAGGCCTATATTCAATCACATGACGTACTGTACTGGCTTACCTTATACACATTTTAAACCTCTGCATATTTCTTCATATAAATAATTAAATTTGAGTATTGTAGTCCCCAGTTTGTAATATCTTTTCCATCCTCTAACCTCTAGCCTTTAATGCTGGCATCATAGATCAGACCTCTGTGTATTTATTAGAAACGCCTTGCTCCCTCCTTATCACACTATTTCCTGAAGAATGAAATAAATCTAAATTTTGTTTTTCTACTCCTCCTCATCCGTTTCCATTCCTCATCACACTATTTCCATTTGAATACTTTAAAATGGTAAGTAACAAACTGGTGCACTTGTATGCTGTAGTTTATTCAGCCTATTGTCAAACTAATTTAAATGTCATTGAAAATATACATATTATGTGGAACAATATACAAAATATCAGGAAGAGAGAGAGAGAGAGAGAGAGAGAGAGAGAGAGAGAGAGAGAGAGAGAGAGAGAGAGAGAGAGAGAGAGAGAGAGAGAGAGAGAGAGAGAGAGAGAGAGAGAGAGAGAGAGAGAGAGAGAGAGAGAGAGAGAGAGAGAGAGAGAGAGAAAAGACACAAGGCCAATGAAATAGATTTATTTCCAGAAGTGGCTTTAGAGCTCAATTTCTTTATTATAATAATAATTATATAACCTCAACATCCCTTATCAACTTGTACAGGGATTTAAAAGAATAGATCATATAAAAACAGCAGTTTTGTCATAATTAATGTACCCTCGTATCGTTCCACAAAAGGAGTTTAGAAGAATGTTGATGCTACTCTTTTTCATTAGTGAATAGTGACCATGTGCGATTCCAAAAATCATATTGGTTTGGAATGACATTAATGTGAGTAAATGATGAAAGAGTTTTAATTTTTCATGCTGAACTTCTCTATTATTTATTTATTTTATTTTTTTGCTCAACTAACTGTAATCAAAATCTTTTTCAGACAAGGTCTGAAATGTGTGTGTGTTAATTATGTGTTTGTTGAGAGCCAATTATGTGTTTGTGGAGAGCCACTGTTTCACGTCACAGATTTGTTCTTCAGCCACTGCCATACGTGGCATTCTGTAAGTGCAATGAACACTTCTATCTCAACACTATTCCACATGCTGCAGAAGCCAGATCAAATGAGACAGCCTCACACTTCAGGTCACATTCTCATTTCCTTTTTTCTTTTTATGCACAGTAAGAAAATACTTTGATGTACATGAGTATCAATGGCAACGCTTTATTGCACAAAACTTAAAAATGTTATTTTTGTTAGTAACCATGATGATCAATCTGATCAAAACATGAAGGCTATATGTTTAATAGCTTAATATTTAACACAAAAGGATGTTGCATGTGATATAGGAAGGCCTTTGAAACTCAAAATGATATTTTCTTGCACCACTTTGCACTCAGAAAGCCCACAAAAGGCTATATTGAAAATCGGGGGGAAAAAATGTTTCATGTTTCTGTAGCCCAACTGGTGAAGCATGACACTAACAATGCCAAGTGGTTTCGATTCCCTTTCCCAGGGAACACACATACTGGCCAAACATTTAGCTTGAATGCAGTGGAAGTGGATTTGGATAAAAGTGTCTCCCAAATGCATAAATGTGAATGAATTATATAAATGGAAAGATTCTGCACTATTTCTATAGGACATCAAATAGATTAATTTGTGACACTTTTCTGTAAAAATGGTCAGACTGAATCACAGGATGCTCTCATTCTCCAATCATGGGTAAATTAAATGAATCATCAGGATTTGTACAAACTTCTGGAACATACAGTACATAAATTCTCACTTGATTGTTCTGCATAGAATATGATTTGTCATAAAAAAAAAGTGGTAATACTTTATTTTGATGGTCCCCTTTAGACATTTTGTTGACGTATTGGGCCTACATGTCAACTAACTCATATTAGAGTATTAGTAGACTGTCTGCTTAATATCTGCCAACTCTTTATTTATGATGGTCCTCCAACAGACATTCTACAGACTATAAGTAACTTTTCAGTATATGTCAACTTATTCTAACCTAACCCTAATTCTACCCGCAACAGTCTTATTCTCTAATTAGAGTTAGTAGACGTGTAGGTGCTACGTTAATTATAGGCTAGTCAAAAGAATGTCTAAAATGTAACCAAAAATGTATCAAAAATATATATATTTCAGACCCCACTGTATAAATCCAAATTTTTAATTTTTCCAATAAAAAATTTAATAAATAAATAACCATGCAGGAGTTAAAGTCGGCATGGATCAAAGATCCCTTGTTAGGTACACTGCATATTTGCAATTGCTGTGGGTCAAAGAATGGACTGCCAGGCACTCAGCGGAGCTTATCTCTCACCCACTCGTTTCTTAAAAAACTCGATAAACAGTGAAAACTTCCCTCCCTTTATAAACCTTTCTCTTTTCCTCATGGCAACCCCTACGGCAAAGTGGTATTGCCGATAGCAGGGAAATCAAATGAAAAGATACAAACAAAAACTAATGGGGTGGTAAAATCAAAACAGTTTGTCCCTTGAAAATGACAACAATCCTGATTTTAATGGCATCCTGTCTACAATTTAATGGCATCCCGTGTGGCCTTTGGTCTCCTGCTGCCAGATTGGAGTCTGAATAAAAAGATCTCTCCCTCTCTCTTGCTCTCTCTCTCTCTCTCTCTCTCTCTCTCTCTCTGAAAAGGATCCTAGAGGGCAGGGCCTAAAGTTTGAGTGCCCTCTCTCCCCATGTGTACACCTCCTCTACCTCCTGTGCTGAGATGATGAGTGCCTCTTGCTGAAGACTGACGGACTGTGAAGAACCTGCCAGCAGAACTGTACAATATCAGGATCCAAGGTGCTTTGTTCTTCTCATACTCTTCATTCCTCTCTCATTTCTCTCATCGAGAAAGAGGTTCTTGAGGTTCCGAAGGCCGTTGAACCCCGAGAGGGACACGGTAGTCAGAGGTAACCATGACAAACCCTTGCAATGTGGCTCTGGAAATTCTGGGGATGCTGATCGGGATGGGGGGCTGGTTTTGTTCCCTGGCGGCCACCATTATGCCTCAGTGGCTGTCACTTTCTACTGAACTATTTACCTTGGAGAGCCACGAACAAGGGCTTTGGGAGTCGTGCGTGTTCCACGAGGTGATTGGCACGGAGTGCCGGCCCTATGACACTCTCCTAGGCCTCGATCACATGTGGATGCTGGCCCGTGTTCTAATATGCCTGTCGGATGCCACATGTCTTCTCGGACTTCTCCTCGCCATCCCTGCCATGAGTCAGATCAATTGCTGCAAGAGCGAGGAGGGACGACGGACCAAGCGAGGTTTGAAGATCTCGGCTGCTGTGTTTTTATGCATCGCTGGAATGTTGGTGTTCACTCCCGTTTCCTACGTCGCTCATCATGTTGTCAGGAAGTTCTTCGATGAGAGCACACCTCACGTGTTGCCCCGTTCAGAGTTTGGGGACGCGCTGTTCATCGGCTGGTCCGCAGCACTTCTCGACATTGTGGCAGGGATCCTGTTATTTACGTCTTGCACTGACTCAAGATACAGTGAAGCAAATCTGGTGTATCACCATCAAAGGCAGGAGATCAGAACTGTCGATGGTTCGAGAAAACGGACAGAGTATGTTTGAGATGATCCTCAGTGTCCTGAAATGACTGTTAATGTTGATGGGGCAGGGGAAAAAACGTTTATACAGGAAAAAACTTTTTGAATTGATCTTTAAATAATCATTTTTCCCCTCTGGAAAATGTTTAAGTTTAATGTATAGATCAATCAAACCAATGAAACAGGTAAATATTATGTTGCATTAATCCTCCAGTATCTGAGTATACTGTTTAATTATGTCTTATCAATGAAGTATTAATATTAAAAGGTTGCCAATATGGTTTCAGTTTAATAGAGACAGTGATTGGAAAAAAAAAGTGGCAATAATAAAAAAAAATTCTTCCCATTTGTTTTTAATTTATTCACAAATATTGTCTTAGACTATTTTAAAAGTATGTCCTCAACCTATTTGTTTAGTTTCAATATTATGCATCTAGTAACGATCACACTTTTGTGGTTTTTGCTTGCATTCATACACTGTACATGTAGCACAGTCACTTGCAAATGATTTTAAGTAACTCATTGTTTGGAGATCAAGTGAACATACCCTGGAAACCAGCTGGTGCTAATCCCAAATATTGTCTGCTTTAGTAAGAAATACATAAGACTGAACTCATAATTTATACATACAATATTTTATGCGCTATATGTGGCTGAATATATAACAATGATATTGTTACCTTGAAGTGTACCCTTTTTTGAGATGTAGTTTATTAATATAATTTTGAATTTATTAATGTACTAGTGCTACTGATGCACCTTAGGCTATTAAATTCAATATATATAGTCTATTATTAATACAGCTACATGTTTAAAATGTATAATATTGCTAGTTTAGAGTAGTCTTTGATTAATGAATGAATATATATATATATATATATATATATATATATATATATATATATATATATATATAAACTGTTACAATTGCCCCTTTTTCTCCCCTAGATTACATTTTGAAAAAAAAAAAAATACAACAAATAAATAAATAAACAGCAATTGTTTTGGTCTCGAGCATTAGTTTCTAAGCAAGAGTATACAAAAAAGATAAAGGGAACAAAATGAGATTGGGTGTTCTGGTGTGTTCAGTCAGGTGAGCTAATGGCAGTAAATGCCTGCTTGAGTGTAATTGTCTGTGATGGTCTCTCTATCAGAATGGAGACTAAGCTGTGTTTAATGAAGGCTCTAATGAGCAGCATGTCCTCTTGAGGAATGCCAAACAGTGGCACCTCCTCCTCTCCATCATTACTCTGATTTGAGCAGGTTAGGAGGAGACAGGGAGCTCCCTTTCACTGAATACTGCAACAGGTATGGCTCCACCCCGGAGAGAGCTTCAACCAAATCCCATCTTTAAATGGAAATGTCCCCATCTAATGATACTTTATACTACAAGGGGTCCGTGATTTGAGAAATCAGAGATTCATTAAAAGGTAGATAAATCCAAGCACAAACACAAGAAATATGTGACTTACATTGCTTCGACATAATAGAAATAATATGGTATATGGACAAAAAGTTCTCAGACTTGAAGGCGCCACATAGATTGTGCCCTCAACTTCCTCTGATGGATATTGAAGTTGAAAATTAAAATGGGCGGTATGTTTACACTTCGATGTTTAGCTATTAACGCTCATTTCCAGCTTCTGGTTGGGAGGGGACATTCCCTGGGCTCCCAGAAAGGGGAAATGGTGTGTCTTCGACTCATTAGGAACAATGTCCTAATGCAGCTCACTGCAAACAATCGGGAGTGAAAGAAGCTGATAAACAAACACATGAAACTGAATTGTAAACATTTGAATATTGTGGGATAAACACCATTCACAAACAAAGTATTTGTTTATATATTTGTATATTATGTGATTACATAATTTTCCTTTCAATATCTCTTTCTTTAGAGAACAATAAGTAAAACAAAAACAAATGTGCTTGCAGGAAACGCCATCCAAGCAATGGCCGATTCTTTCAGTGAAAAGTAACCACGTCACTCATTAAACATATAAACGTTTTTAAAAACACATCAGCATCATAAATCTTATGTTTGTTATTTTCCATTTATTTCTACAAGAGGATTTTCTTTTTTGTGAAGTTCTAAACACTTTGTAGTGTCATTCTAGGCTTGGAACTTTTTTTTAAATACTACATAAAAGTGCAAAAAAATATATATATCAAACTGGAAAAAGTACCAATTTCAAACAAAGACACTTGTGTCCACACCGTGGCATTATAAACAGACGACTATAGCCTGCACTGGTCAGTAAACATATTGCTGTCAATATACATCCATGAACATCTTAACTTAGAGCACAAGCTCAGATAACCTGCTTTTTGTGCAAGCATATACTGTATAAAAAAAAAAATGTGACGCAGGTTTAGTATACAGACTTGTAATGAATGTCCTCAAGTCAAATTATACCATCAAGTCCTTAATTATTGGTGTTACTCATCTGAGTTTATACCCTTTACTTAGTTGCTTAGCTATGCAAAAGGGCAGATCAGAGCAGCAGAGGGTGAGATCATGACCTCTGTGTATGAGAAACAAGCTGCAGCTCAAGGCCAGTGGAGATACGACAAAGAAATTACAAGATGAAAGTCTGAAAATGCCAATGGTTTCTCACAGGTGGAAAAAAGAAAAAACTCTCTGCACTAGCAGTGCTGATCCCGCAACACACCCAGTGTGATCACATGCACACCCACAATCACATAACACCCTGTAGTACACACCCACAATACACCAAAACCGCATATTCATATAGCCTCCCCACCACAGCAACACAGAAATCCTACGAATTATGTTTTAATTACTTACTAAAAGTAATATATATATATATACTGTATATATGAGTGAATAATTATAATAATTTATGAATAAATAAATTATCTATTTGGTTGTATTACATGTTTTACAAATGTTTTCCCCCATGAGTGACTGGTTTGACTGCTGCTTGCATCCTCAAAGGGATAGTTCACCCAAAAATGAAAATTCTGTCATCATTTACTCACCCTCAGGTTGTTCGAAACTTGTAAAAATGTCTTTGTTCTGTTGAACACAGAGGAAGATAGTTTAAAGAATGTGGGAAGCTGAACAGTTCTGACCATTGACTTCCATAGTATTTTTTTGTGGAAGTCATGGTGCCCCAAAGCGGCCTGGTTACAAACTTTCTTCAAAATATCTTCCTTTGTGTTCAACAGAACAAATACATTTATACAGGTTTGGAACAACTTAAGGGTGAGTAAATGATGACAGAATTTTCATTTTTGCGTAAACTTTCCCTTTAAAGGATACCGGTGAAAATTATGTTTTCTTCAAAACTGTATAATGATAATTTTGTGCATCATACAGCACCTGTATCGTGGATATGCCTCAGTCCAGCTGAGTTGAGTGCATTATACTCAATATACATGATCATGAAGCAAAATATGTTCTACAAACTAGTTAAGAGGCCTGTAGAAAGGTTTAAGACAGACAGACACAATTGATGCCCACAAGCTAAATGGTGTTTCATCCGAAGCAAGGCCAGTGCCTCCTCAAAAACTTGGTTTAGAAAATAATCCATATTACAAAATTACAGGTAATTTTACAGCGGGAATCCGTGTCTCTCTTGCCTCCCCTGAGCCCATTGATTTTTGAGTCACGTGAGAGGAGGCGTTATGATTGGATATGGTTTATGCAATAAATCCTGCCTCTTGTTTTCGTGAGCGCTTGCGAATTGGTCTGAATGAACAAAATGATGCTGTTAATGGGAAGACTAATTAAAAAGTAAGTAAACATCTGAAACATTTAATCCACCGAAGGCAAGCTTGGAGAACCCATGTGCTGTTTATTGATAATCCAAAATAAGCTAATACAAAACTAAAACTTAAACATGAACTGAAAACTTATCAACAGTGAGTTACAACATCAATACTAAACAAAGATGCATGGCAAACAGGAGGGCTTAAATACACAGACTACACTAGACAAGACACAGCTGTGAACATAATCAAGACAATTACCCAATGACAACATTGGACCGGAGCACGTGGCAGGATCACATGACAAAGCCAGGAACAGGGGCACGTTCAAGATCACAACGGTGCGCAACGTTTTGCTACGGTTTCCGGGTTGAACGTCATGTTTCCTGGAAACGGCGTGCACCGGTGTGCAACCAAGGGGGTAATCCATCAGCCGGAAACTGAAGTCCCCCCGGGCGCCGCCATTGGCTAACAAGCCTTCACCTGCTGTTAGCATTCCATTGACTCCCATTCATTTTTGCGTCATTTTGACAGCGAATAACTTTACATCTGAGACGTTTAAAGACTCCATTTGTCCATTATTTATTTCTAAAGAAACACGACAATGTATAAAATGCTCCATTACCTTGTATCTTACGTTGTGGCCCCGTAGAAGCAGTTTTTGTAAAAATAGGCTAACGATTGCGTCATAACATGCGACTCTCTGTCGCATTGAAGAGAAATGACCGTAAAGACAGATGTAGAAGCTCACACGCAATCGGGGGACGTGGAGGCATAAAGTCAAGGGAGAAGCCCATAGACCAATTTTCAGTTGGTAAACATGGTGACGTTTTTATGTGGGCGGAGCTTAGGTGGTGGCAGAACGATCCCTCTGGCCGCTTCTCTAACGTAAAGTCTGCAAGTTTTGTTAGCTTGTTTTTAACAATGACTGGAGAAAATCCGATTTTATCTTAATGTGCAAGGTCACTCACTGTCCAGGACCACGATTGTTATTTGCAAAAGTTCATTTTAATCGGACAGAACCAGATTGGCCGACCCGTACACTCATTGAGGATCTGACAGGATTAACGTTAACGTTACCTCCGGTTGAGTGAACTGACTTCTACACCTACCTGATAGAGAAACGGAGGGCATGTAAATCTTTAGATGCCTATAACTATGTGCTGAATGGTCATGTACAAGACTTGTGTGGTACGATCCGCAGTTCTGCCTAGCCAGCGCCGAGAAGACGACAATGTAAAGAGGGACATTGCGGTGCAATTTTAATGAGGTGAATATTTCTAGAAATAAAAAATTGCAGATAAAGCATATTAATTTTTCATTGATTCTTGCACCCAACAACACAACAAGATGACATTTAATAATAAGAAGAATAATTTAAGATCCTTATTTTGTAGCCGAATCTGTGCTGGTTTGTATTTGCCGCCTCCAGTTTTCCCTTTGTTCTGCCACCAGCTAGCGCCGTGACGTAACTGTGACGTCGGCTGAAAATTGGTCTATAGAGAGTCATGAACAGCTAATACTCACGATCTCCGGCTTTGCAAGA